TCCTTAAGTTTCAATGTGGATAATCTTGGTGAAGCGTCATTGGTTCTATGAATCGAAATTCACCGAGATAGAAAAAAATAGGGTATTAGGACTATCGCAAAGACATACTTAGAAAAGATTCTAAAGAAATAAAGTATGCATGCGAGTAAACCTACGCCTGCTCCTATAGTTAAGGGTAATAGATCTAGAAACTTTAAGTGTTTCAGGAACCGATATGAGATCGATCAAATGAACATGGTTTCATATGCTTCAGCTGTTAGAAGCTTGATGAGTGTACAAGTACAAGTAAGAACTTATCCTGACATAGTTTACGTATCCGGGATATTTTAGCAGAAGTCCAGTCCAGATATAGATCATTGGAATGTAGTTGAAAATGTCTTGCAATTTTACAAAGTATCATAGGTCTCATGCTGAGTAAGAAAGAACAAGTACTCTTAAATAGTTGCGGGTACAAATGTTAAGTTTTGGCGAGATGTGTAGTGAAATCCACATTAGTTGCTAACACTTATAGTTGGAGTATTATTGTGGAAAAGATCCAATGAAACAGTTGTGGTGTCATCAATGATGCATACCATAGTATAGCTTATCATGAGGCCTTAGGAACAGGCAAAAGTGGTTAAGAGAATATATACCCGGATTTAACAATGGTAGTCAACAGCAATAACTATTTAAGGTAGTTAACTCTTAAGATAACAGGTCAAGTGTGCTGCCAAACACATTGACATTAAGTTATATGTTGTAAAGGAGAAAATCCAGAATTATTTTGAAAGCATTGAGCATATGAGTACCAAGCAAGTACTTGTGGATCTACTTACCAAAGGCTAACCACATAGTGCGTTTAGAGAACACACAGTCGACATGGGTTTACGGGAAAGTCTATGATTTATGTATACTGAGAGCCTAGTTGAGAATCTGTTTCAAAACAGAGAGGTGCATTGTAGTTGTTAAATCTAATGGTAACTGACTGTGACAATGAGGCAGGCTCTATGCACTGATCTGTGATAAAATAGGAAAAAAAATAAAGTAAGTTAAGTATAAGACATAAGGTAAGATCAAAGAGGAGAATGTTAGATTGATCTCCACCAATTTAGCCCAACGGTCAATTGAGCCCTTGACTCGCACCCTAATCGGGGGCGCCCAGTCGCTCTCCTAGCTATTGGGCCCCCGTCGCGCAGCGCTATGTAAAGGTGGAAGCTGGGGCTCAAGACATAAGGTTCACTGCAGCCGCCAGTTCCTCACCGAGTCTAACCCTAGTCCGATCTAGGGGGAGCGCTGTGAGCGACGGGAAGCTCCACCGGCCTTCACCGTCATCATTAGACCGCACCACCACTACGATGCTACCTCTACTCCGACACTAGATGCATGTCGCGCCGTGCCATGGCGAGGTATATCACCAGGTCTCCTATCTAAGTTAAGTTTTACCCGTCAGATCTGCACCTAGATGTTCCTATAAATCCTTATCTTATCATTTTTAAGAACGATCGTGGGATTATTAGTTGTGCCTTTGGCCGTATTTCGTGTGAGAGATAATAATATTTCTGTTTATAATCCACAATAGTTCTTAGAGGTATAACATGTTGCCTATCATTTAGAAGAACTCTTAACGGACCTATTTCTAACTTTGAGTCAGATTTAGACTTTTGATTTACAAAACATACCCAACATTTCTATTTGGAATTTTTAAAGTTCTTAGTTTTGTATATACATATACAATAAATAGTTAAGAGCAACTCAAGAGAGTTGCTATTTCTAACCTTGAGTCAGATTTAGACTTTTTGAGGTACAAAATGTGCTCAACAGACGTTCTATTTGGAATTCTAAAATACCTAGTCTTGTATTCCGTGAATCCCGCTAGCTAGAAAAAGCGAGCGAGCGCCGCTCCCCGTCACACTATGTGCCGATATGTCCACCAATGAGCGTGGCCTCACGTTCCTGCATGTGTGCGTGCGGCGGAGGAAGGTGGGGTCTGCGATGACGTGACAGAGTATAAAAATAGAGAATCGAAAATTTAGAAAGACTGTTGCATTGCACTACTTTTTTAAGAGATGTTTTATTTTAGACAATGGCTAAATCTTTAATTTTAGAATCTAGTTTTAGACAATCTCTTTGAGTTGCTCGATCTCAAAATTGGTATTCTTAGCTATTTTCTGGTTCTAATTCGCGTCAAACACAAAGTAGCCCACAGGCCACACCAGGCCGGACGGCCCAATGGCCCATCTGGCCTTCCAACTCCCCAATCCCCAATTCCCCCCACTCCCCCACCCATCTGGTCCGCCGTAGCCCCGTAGGGCAAGCCGCCAGCAGCTTCCGAGCTTCGACGGACGCCGGGACGCGGAATCGCTCCGCGCCGCCGCCACCCGCCAGGCCGCCCGCCCACCCCTCCAGCCTCCAGCCGCGCCACGCGGTCGCTCGCGGCGCCGGCCGCCGGCGCGCTGCCCGCCGCCCCGCCCCCCGCCCCGCCCCCGTGGCCCGCGCGTTCGGCCGCCGCCCGCTGGGCGAGATCCCGCAGGAGCCGGCCTGCTCCAGTTGTCTGCTGTCTGCTGCGAAGTCCGACTGTCCGAACCTCCGAGGTAATGAAAATTCGAACCCCCTTTGGCCTTTGCTATGTTCTGTGTCATTGCCGATTGCAAAATTTCATAGATACGCATTTGGTTCCTGGTAGGCAGTGGCATTTCCTTTCAAAAAATGAAGAAGTCAAAGTCGATTGATCTAAAAGTCAAAGTCTATCGAGTTTATGGTAAACGGGCAATCTGTCCGATCCCATGAAGTTGGCTTAGTATTGATAGCACAAAACCACATAGTATGTTGATGCTGCTGGGTGACCTAGATCTGTTCGTGAAATTGTGAAGGCTCCCACAATAATCCACATGTTTAGCTGCTGCTCAAAGAAAAGGTGCATAGGATCACCATTCATGTATTGTACCTTTTCGTTAACCACCTGGATCGCAACTGTAATGCTCTAGGTGCCAGCATTTATGGTTCCCCTCCAGCAGTGTATCCTTCTCAAAGATCTATACATTTTGCCCAGCTTAAATCAATCTAGAGTACCGTGTGCAACTAAGGGCGTGTTTGGTTGGTTTACTTGGCCAGCTCGCCTCACTTTGCTCGGCCAGGCCAGGCTTTGCCAGCTACAGAGAGTGGTTTCAGCTCGCTTGGGTTGGCGACTGAGATTCTCGATAGCGCAGGAACCGAGAACGGAAGCAAACCAACCAAACAGGTATCTTGATGCCGAGCCAAGCAAAGCAAGGCAGAGCGAGGCATCCAAACGTGCCCTAAACCCACCAGCAGCAGCATGAACATAATTAAGCTGTGCAACTGCTTGTATGTTAGGAATAAGTAATCGTATCAGCTATGTTTTGTTTGTCATCCTTTTATTTATTTTTTTCTTTTATGACAGGAAAGCACCTCATCCCCAAATGAAGCACATATTCAAGATTGCTGCAATACTGGTAGCAATCTCAGCTACCTGGATTGCTCTACTTAAAACCTCAACTGTTCCTCGAAGTTATACTTGGCTGGTCAGCGTCACTGATTTTTGCTAGTAAATATCTTTAAAAAATAGTGAAAGGCGATTAGTAGTTTGTTTATGAATTTGGTTGTTCCTGTTTCAGCTTCCCATCTACTTGGTCGTGGCTCTTGGATGCTACGGCCTTTTTATGGTTGGATTTGGACTTATGTTCTTCCCAACTTGTCCTCAGGAAGCTATACTACTGCAACAGGTTAGCTATTTTAGTCTTATGGACTAAATTTCTTTTCTGAATCTATCCATGACTAAACTGAGGAACCTTGGAAACTTCTTGAGCTGTCTTTGCAGTACATCTCATGGATCTCCATACAGACCATGACAAAGAAATCCATGCTAATTGCTAAGGCCCCGTTTGGGAGAGCTCCGCTCCGTGATTCTTCAGCTCTGCTCCTTGATTCTCCAATGTAGTGATTCCATTGGATTCCTAGGAGGGAGCAGGGTGGGGAGTTGATGAGAATTGATTCTTTGCTGATCCCCATCAGAATATAACAGGGAGCAGGGTGAAGCAGGTTTTTTTAGCTCCCAGCTCAGTAGTGTAAATGGAGAAGTGATTCTCTGTTGATGCCCACCTGAATCAGTTGGCATTTTGAGTGTTTGGCTGGTTAGAAGTGATTCTGTTCGGAGAAGCTGAAGCTTGAGCTCTCCCAAACGGCGCCTAAATGATTTTTGTTTTGTCTGTATGACCATACCTCGTTTTATTCTATGTCTGAGATTGACGTATTATGCAGGATATTGTGGAGGCAAAGGAATTCTTAGCAAAGAAGGGTGTTGATGTGGGCTCTGAGTGAGATCAATTTTAAGTGGTTGACAGTCATGACCGTCTTGAAGGATCACCATTCTGTTCCTAGGAATAGGTTGCTTTTTTGGATACTTACTGTAGATAGGAAACATATCGCTATGTTCAGCTATTACTAACACAGTTTTAGTGAGTTGGCATGTTACAGTTATGCTTTTCAATGACGGGGCTCACGTTGACTTGCTGGTATTTTTTGAAGTTTGAAGAGTGAACTTTTCTAGGAAATATTTGGTTTCTATCTCGATTTCCGGGCAGTGGACCCTTTACCAATTCTGCTGTTCAGTATATCACCTTATGCCTTATGACAGTTGCTTGTACTCGCAAGTCCTTTTGTGGATTCAGTGTTTGAAATTTTGTCCAGAACTTCCAAAGTTTCTTCCTTTCAATATGGCATGTTACAAATTTACAATTAACAGATATTCTGATTTGTTTAATGCCACAATTGCTAACAATGAGCTCATTGAGATCAGAATGTCAGATGGTAAATATTCTTGCTCAAATAATCAAAGGTTTCCTAACCTTGAAAAGATAGAATCCTACAAGTTTTGTCCGTAAGCCACCTGTGTTCAAATCAATCTGGTTCACAATGGTTTGCTTGATTTGATCCTACCTAAGCCTATACGAGTATTCGTTTCTGTTTCTGTGCACATCCTATACATCCAGTGGCTACTTGGTCTACTAGTAGCCACTGCGTGGCCGGCGGTGCCTTCCCTCGTCCCTCCGGTCGCCGCCAGTGGCATAGTCATCGGCGAAGCTTGGCCTCTCCGCCCGTTCCCCTCGGAACGAGAAGAATCTCTGCACCCCACGGGAAACAGTCACAATTCACATAACTTGCACTAACATCTGAAGAAGAGAAGAACATATAGCCAAATTGGTGAAGGTAGTGTGTGTGTGTGTGTACCCGTGTTCTTGACCCTCTGGACGCCTGCGACCGGACGTAGTCGAGCACCCGGAGGAAGAGGTCGTAGCCCCTCTCGGTGAAGTTCTTGAGGTAGAAGACGAGGATGTCCCCGGCGTTGGCACGCAGGTACTGTAGCCTGGCCTCGATGTTGGGCTGGTACTGCATCACCAGCGGCTGGAGGAAGGTCTCGTACACGATGTCCGTTCCCTGGTTCACAGCACAACAACATTCAGTTCAGAGATTTGATCAGCGGCTTGCAAGTACACCTTTTTGTTGGTGAACCGCAGACAGAGTATTTCTAGTACATACCCTTGTCTTTGGGTACCACAAGTAGACGAGGAAGGCTAGCTTCAGCTCGTAGTACATTGGAATCCTGTGACAGGAATGGCAGGGGGGAAATCGTCAGACCACTGTCACTTTTCTGAAGGAACATGAGTTTCAGATTTGTGTTTTGGTGATTACTTAGAAATGAGAACCCCGGCAATTTCATCCAACATGACAAGGAGGACCAGGATGATCCTGCAAGATTGCTGAAACTAGTCAAACTTAGCAAGACCAAGACCCAAAAGTGAACGTTATGACACTGCAGACTTTCAGTTTCAGTTTATCGTCTGAAGTCAACCACCACAAAAAAAAAATCAGCAACGAACTAGAAGATGGTGTGCTTATTTATCCCAACTACGAACTTGCTACATATATAATCTTCATAATAAAGGAGAATGGGATTTGCTACTGAATTTATTTTACATAATTTTTTGATTCATAGAAAGGGGTAAATAATAATAATTTGCTACTGAATTCCACATCAAGCGAAACAAACACTGTACCTACTAGATAGAAGAAATCGATCCCCTTTTGTGGACGAGCATCAGGTTCGACAGATCCAAGTATCCAGCCCTCTCTATTAGTACCAGTTCGAATTCGCATCACCACCCAACACCCAGTTGAGGAAATGAAATCACATGAAGCTAAAGGCCTAAAGCAGATCAATCACCCAAAGAAAAAGGATTCTGAATCATTACCAATACTCGCACCAGAAGCGGAGCTGATCTGTCCGGCCGGGCCGCTGCTCGATCGCCTTGAAACACTCCAGCGCTGGCATGGCATACCCGAACAGCAATCTGCAATAAAGTCAAATTAAACAACAGATGAGCCCAGCAACACAATCGCCCGGCACCGCAAAGCCCCACCAAATTTCAGGCAAGAAAGGCCTGGACGGGGGTTGAAGGGGGCACCTACGTGAGGAATTTCGTCAGGAGCTCGGTCGACATCCCGGACCAGCGTGGAATTCACGACGGGAGGAACGGGAGGAAGAGGAGGACGCCTTGCCTGAGTTCTTGATTTCTTGGTCGCGCAAACGATGGATGGGTGGGCAAACAGCCTATCCTAACGACTTGCTTGGTGAGAGCCGTGAGACTTGCTGGTGGCTGACGGGTGACGGCTTCCTTACCAGCCAAGTTACAGACGACGAGACAAGAGCCCGGCAGGTGGTTAGCTCAGCTGCTCCGGCGCCGGCAGAATCTCCTCTTCGGGTGGGAGAAATTACGGAATTGCCCCTTGCAGCTGCACCTGATAGCCCATGGTGTGTGGGGGTATCAGCTGGGGACTTTGCTGGCATTGGATTTAGGACACATGATGATGATTGATGAGTTGTGGATCAGGGGAGAATTTTGTGAATATACTAAAGAGAAAGCTGAATTGGGTGTGTGTGGAAAGTAGAAACTTAGAAAAAAGGAGCTGAATAATTTAGTCATAATTTGGTGCCGTTTGGTGTGATGTGACATAAAACCCACCAAAACTGAAAGTGAGGTCAGAATTATTGATGGAACAAGGAGAGTCAATTAGTGATTGTATCTTCTGTTTGTAGTCATGACCCACTCTATCCAATCCAATTGGAAATGAACTGTTCATACTGAGTCATGAGACGTTTTAATTTGGGAGAAGTGTTCAGGTGCTTTCTGATTTATAGCCGAATTAATTTCAAGAGCATTACGTCTGAACTAATAGCAGAGGAGGGCCACTGCTCTTTGAGTTTTCTTTTATTCAGCGGTCCCATATTATTAAAAGTCTAAATTGTGTATATATTATTGTAATGATTTGCGTTCAGTAGCGAGATAAGGTTTAGGTAGTGGCCAAGTATATATGCACCTCTAAATCCTTATCCATGAGCTTTTGCTTCGAATTGCTACTGGAGTGGTGTTGATGCTGGGACATCTTACAACTCTGTTGCAGCTAGCATACAGAATCGCATGGGCAAGTTTGACAGTCTCCGTAAAGGGAGGCAGGCAAATTATTAACAGTAAGCTACTTTGACAACTGCTAATATCTTCAGCGCTGAAAATTGTCGTCAGGTTGGTGCAGCTTTGATGAATGATACTCCAAGATGCCCACCTTGGAGAGATTCTCTTCAGAAACACCAATCCATCTATCAGTAACGCAAGCTGGATGTTTAATATTGTTTCTTTTTCAGTGCAGTGGATCTGAAGGTACTGAATGTCTGAATAAAAGATTTTAATTTTTTTTTGGTGCAGTGGATCTGAAGGGACTGAATGGAACAGTTTTTTTTTTGAGTGACAAAGGCAGCACTGCAGTAGAAGAAAAGAACAACAAAGAACAAACAAAGCAGTGGGTTATCTTAGCTGTGGTCCTGAAACCTGAATCCGATCCAACTCTACCATAGCGGATTCACTGTACTAAGAACAAACAAAGCAATGGGTTAATCTTTTAAGCAAGTCAGAAAGCAAGATCCCAGAGAGATGAGAGATCAGCCTTCCTTCTCAGTGCAAAGACAACCGAACCAACCAAATTGAAAACGTGCATTCACAAGATTTGTGCAAACACGACTTCAGAATTCCGTTTCCACTTTCCAGGAAGAAAAAAAAACTCATCACTGGATCTTTCACTTTGCGCATGGCCTGATACTCGTATCCCCCAAACACGCGTGGACCAACTAACAACCTTTGGTCCTGGCTTGGCTGTACTTGTTCATCTCAACAATCAGCTGCAGCATAATAATCCATGCGTACGGGACGATGGCACGCACACGCATCAAAATGGCACACGGCTGGCTGGCTGGCAGAGCGGCACACGGTTGATTGGTTACGTTAGGCGCTCGCGCGATTTCGACGCGGCGGAACGCGCGCTGGTGGTCCTCGTCCTACAAGCATGCTGGCGCGCGCGCGCGATCGCTGTTGCCGCCGCCGCGTCGCCCTACCAGTGCAGTGCAATGAAGGCGCAGAAGCCCGGTGGGCCGGAGCCCGGAGGTGCCCAGTGCTCTGCAGCTACCTTGCCCGTCCTGCGATCTGTTTTTTTTAAAAAGGGGAAATAAAATTTCATTAGTCACCTGATCCGGCTAAATCGCCGGCCACCAACAAACAGGCTGTTCGTTTCGTTGTAAACGATCATGGATTATTTACTGTTAGTTGGTTTAATGTGAGAGAAAAGTACTGTTCTATTTTATAATCCACGATCGTATACGAGCAAACGAACGGGCTGAAAGCTACCGAGTCTGGTACATGATCTTACCACATCAGAGGACCCTCCCTACAGTTCAAGCCAATGGCCGCCAGGGTATGAGCTACAACATTACAAACTCTGGGTACATGAGAAATAATACATGCAGAAAACTCATAAAACATTTGAGTTTTGATCTCAGCCATCGGAATTCCAATCACTGATCTATCCGTAGTTGGGTCTGATAAAGCTTGAGCAACGGTAGCTGCATCGGTCTCCAAAATAACACGATCCATTCCTAATGCAGCTTGCGATCTGTTTGTTTGGGGCTGCTGAGCTACGGCAGCCATCAGGGGGAGCAAGGCGGCCCCGACGGGCTCGTGCTGTTGCAGAGCTTGCGTGAACAAGTCGTGCAAGCACCTGTTGGCCTGTGAGTCCGTGGCTCCAGCCATGCAAGCATCGCTGCAGCAGCCTAGAAAGCTAGGAGCTGTGTTCTCCAGGGCCACACAGGAGGAGGGTTTACTTGGAATTGGAAGGACAGTTGCAATTGCAAATGGTGTACTCCGTACTGTAACACGGTAAAAAGAAAAGAAAAAAAAAACTATCGGTCAGGAAGATTCGTGTGGAGCTGTACAATGCCAAGGAGAGAGAGCGCTACGGAACTTCTGTTCTGATCACTCAAGAAACTCTATACCCCTTCTAACGGTTAGAAATAGAAATTTTGTTAAAATACCCTTCAACAACTTCTGTAATTAGTTATCCAAATATAGTCATATTTTATTTTAGATTTTCCGCAAGCTAAAAAAAGAAAACGAAAATGGCTTTCTAAAGTGCACATAAGATATAGAAAAATTGATTGGTTGTGAAAAGACATAGAAAACAATTTTTATGCAAATGACTCTCAAAATAATAATATTAAATGTGGGATTTAGAAAGACTCTTGAAAATGTTTTAAGTTATTAAGGCCCATTTGGGGAACTTTTGCATAAGTTAATGGTCTGTTTAGTGAGGTTCTCGCTCTGGCTTCTCTTTTCACTCGACGGCGAAGCCACACCAAACACCCTCACGAGGAAGAGGGCTTCTAGGTGGTAAAACCCAGAGTCGGAACAGATTTCGCGTATAAACGTGGAGCTGCGAAAACTGGCTTTGTCCAAGGCCCCGTTCGCTTGTCTAAAAAAAGAAACCAAAACATTATAGCGGCTGGTTGTGTGAGAGAGAAATACTGTAATGGCTGGTTGATGAATAATGCCACTATGAGAAGGAACCAGCCGGCTGATCTGGAAACCAGACCAGCGAACGGCACCCAAAGGGCTCCAACTTTGCCCACAAAGCACATGTGGCGTAAGGGTGCCAAACAGGCCCTAAGTTTCTTTCAAATAGCACTAAGGTTGTACACGGTAGTTTATGAGTGTAGCATTTGTAGCAACAGCTGTGCTTTTATAGAAGTAAAAATGTTTAATTGAGTTTTGGTTTATCTTTTCCTCTTTGGTTTCTTTATTAAGGCCCCATTTGGTAGGGTCTTCACTTTATTAGTGAAGCCATTTTTGTGCTTCAGCTCCACGAACAGTTCCATCGGTGGAGCTGAAGCGATTTTGGTAAACCGTTTGGCAAAATGGCTTTCCTATGAGAGTATGTTTTTAGGGGCCTGAGAAGGAGTTAGGAGAAGCCACTTTTTTTCACTCCATTCCACCCTAAATCATTGTGAGAGCATGTTTTTAAGGGCTTCACCAGTGAAGCTATTTCATTTTACTCTGTTTGACAGAAAACGGCTCCTAACGACTCCTAAAACTGGTAAAGAAACCCTGCCAAACGAGGTCTAAGGTGAACCAAAAGAAAACTCGTCTAGAACTAACTGCCACCGCGGTCGCAGGTGCGCGGTGCGCTTTGTTTTAGTAGGCTCTTTCTGAGTTGAGCTCTGGCCTCTGACAATTAATAAAGTTGAGAATGAAACTCGAAATGATGCAAAATAACATCTTATTAGGTTCTCTTTGGATTCATTACCATTAAAAAGTAGTAGCTAAAATTAGTACTAGTATATTTAAACTGACTTGCTAATTATTAACTAGACCAGAGGATATTAACTTATTAGTCATATTAGCTAGTTTGAAGTCGCTAATAGATGCTAACGGTTTAGCCTGTTCGGCCGGTCAGATTTGGGCTGATTTTGGATGATTTTGATGATTCAATAGTATTTTGTAAGAGAAAATAATATGAAATAAGCTGGGACCTGATCAGCCGAATTATCAGAAATCGTTCGGCTGGTCAGGTTTATATGATTCATCAATAGTATTATGTGAGGAACGATTTTCAGCAACTTGGCAGCCTGGGCTAATAGGGCAGCATTTTACTTTTACGGTTGTACTACGCCCCATGGAAATTTTCACACGGGTAACTCTTGACGACTGGTCAACATGAGACTTGAATTGTTGTCCAAAAGAAAAAGAAAAACATGAGACTTGAATTGGATGGCTGTTCGCTTGGATTGGACGGAATCAGCTGGGACCTCACATAGGACTCTTTTAGTTGGTGAATTTTTTTAGAAAATGGTACTACAGTAATTTCGTTGTTATTTAGCAATTAGTGTCTAATCATAATTTAATTAAGCTTAAAAGATTTATCTCGTGAATTTCGTCTAAACTATGTAATTAATTTTATTTTTTATTTATATTTAATGCTTTATATATATATCAAAAGATTCAATGCGACATAAAATCTTGAAAAATTTTACAAAATTTTAGAAACCAAACATGCACCTAGCTGAGGACGATATTGCCGTGTGCCATGCCCTGTGAGGCTGTGAGATTGTCAAATCATGATG